AGGTTTACTTTCGAGTTACTTTGCTCCTTGTGTGCTGCTGTCACATGTCTTCCACACGACAAAAGAGAAATTGGTTTGGCATACACAGCTTCGAAGCTCCCAGAGATAGATGCGATCCAAGCGCATAACCTTCGCTGCTCAGCTGCACATTGCGTTGCTCCCGAGCCCTCCGAGCGCGTGTGTTTGACAATATACTCGTTTGTGCTCAGTAGATGACGGCCTCTTTCTCTCTGTGTCGCGACTAAATTCCGAATATATGTGACTTTCCATCATCGATTTGCCCCCATTTTCGGTTCTTAGCGGTTTGCTTAGCGGTGCCCTTCCTGTATGTCTTTCTGGTTTTTATCTGTTCGCGTTGTCCCCGTCGAGCCCACTTACAGCTTTTCGAACATCTCCACGACAACAAGTAGGTTGAATGCAACAACAGCCTGGACCATTCGCGTGCACAGCCACATCTTTCTAACTGTCTACCGTGAATGTTAGCACCACGTTGTGGCTGAAGCTCGTGCGCCCTACAACAAGTTCCATTTGCTCCGTCCAACTCAGTCTCTGTCTCTTTGTCTGTGTCTGTCTGTCTCTCTCTATCTCTCTCACTCTGTCTGTCTGTCTGTCTGTCTTTCCCTCTCCCTCTCTTCTCTCTCTCTCTCTCTCTCTCTCTCTCTCTCTCTCTCTCTCTCTCTCTCTCTCTCTCTCTCTCTCTCTCTCTCTCTCTCTCTCTCTCTCTCTCTCTCTCTCTCCTTTTTGTATCGTTCCCACCACACATCGCCGTCAGGTCCTGGACTTGACGCGAGTGGAGACGTCCCTCAGGGGTTTCGTCGGAGGCTTCACGCACGGAAGGTAAGCATCGTACATAGAGCTAAAAGCACACAAACGCGTGTGCCTTCGGCCATGATTGGTGCGCAAGAGAGTTACACATGGTGAACACATACGTGATGTGGGGGCCCGGAGTTGGCTTGCCTGACCTACACAACCAAGGAGGGCCGCGAATGCTCACTCCAGCCGACACCATTGGTCGATGAGTGCACACTTATGGTTCCGGTTGAAACATGGCAATACCCAACACACTCTGGTTTTCGAAGCCTTGCGAATGGATGATGGTCGGTGATTTCACAGCCCACGCCCCCTCCCTCAAGGGATGCAGTTACAGGTCCGCAGTCGAGAAAAAGTTGATAATGTTTTGAGGCTCAATCTTCTACTTTGCCGCCATCCTTAGGCACAGGCCACCTTGTTGGACCACAGGCACAGGCCCACATCCGAGCTGTGTTTCTCGATCGTTTCGTTCTCTTGCTTCGAGACTATCTCAGCTACTCCGGGTTTGACAGTTACAGTAGTGTTCCCATGGAATACGTACGCTTTGTTTTGGCTCAGCTTCTGAGTTGCGAGCGGTATGTTCTGTCTTGCCTGTGGGAGTTGTTTGCCCTCCTTTTCTGTGCGACGTTCTGGACTTGGTCGTTCGACAGCTGCCTCTTTCTTCGCGATGTGCTGCGTAATTTGTAGGTATTAGCTTCGTCTGGGACTGCTTGTCACCACCGACAATACCTCAACACACTTGAGCCGGCCGAAGAGGTACTAGGTAGGTTACTGTGCACCTATGGAAAGGGACGCTTGCTCAACGGTCAGCTGACAACAAGGCCACCAACATATGAGTACCCCTCCCCCCCCCCCCCCCCCCCGTTTCCCTTTTGTTTCATTTAACTCTTCAAAGGACCCGATCCTCTCTCCCTAAGCCAACGGAAATACGACGGGAAAATTCCGCGGGCGGTTGCATTTTTACCCCAT